ATTTCCAGAGTAAACAGAGAACGAATGGCGGGGGAGACTGTAACCAATTAGTTTCATGGGAAAATGCTGAATAAAACGCTAGTGGAATCGGTTTCATGAGTAGGGTAGTGTGCGGGAGGTGGGGGGAGAGCGGTGAGAAGCTGATGAGTAACACAAGCGATCCGCCAACCACAACTAATGATGTGATCACGCCAACACACTCACATACACACACACGGCAGATACATTTAAAGCGCAAATTATCAATGAAAGGGGGGAAGCGATGCGCGCACAAAGATAAGATAGAAATCAGAATACGATGCGAGCCTGTGGACAAAGGACGGATAGACAGACAGATCAAACAATTAGGCATGTTAGATGATTGAATATAACACTATAGTGATATTATGCATTATGGAGGCATGGAGATAAATGTGAATGGCTTGTAGAGTACTCAATAGGCAACTTAACCATCATAACATTAACCGTCGTTAGCAGAGGAACAACTCGGTAAAAACCGCTTGACGGCACAACTGATGATGCTCATGCAATTATAGTGTGAGAACAAAAAGAAAGCACAAAGGTATCCTACACCTCAGCATGTGTGCAAAAACGTATTCCCAAGCTGCTAATATAACATATATCTATATAATCATAAACGAGTGGATTTTATTATCACTATGTGAATAATATGCAAGTATTTACAACGAGTAGACCCTATACCAGTGATTGATGACCCTGAACGTCTACTCTTCCGGTTCACATGCGGGAATGTTTCCATTGGTTTAGAAACAACGGGCGGTGATGTACTGACCAGTAATATTTAGTGGACAACAAATGCATAAACTCCATACGTGTGCAGGCCCTCAGCATATGGCCTGAAATTTACGGGGTGCTATTAGCCCACACTCGGTTATTACACAACGTCTCGCTAATCAAACCAAACAGACTGACCAAATTTGGCATGAAGATGCTACAACTCATAACTGTTTAGAGAAACCAAACGGGATTTGACTATAACTTTGTCAACGTGATTGATTCCTAAAAAATGTGCTCTTAGATGTTGTGTGTGTGCCAGATGCTATTGACCTCAATCCCAGTACTTCTACTAAAGTGCAACCAAAAGTTCGCCACGTATCCGTCATGGATCAGATGAGTTAAATAATGTCCATTCATTCAACGCTGACTAGTATTTATCTACGGCGGGTTAATGACTGTCTTCAAGGTCATGTGTTGTGTTTGAATTCACGGACCGTCACTTATCAAAACAGGAGAATGCCACGCGGCTCAAAATTACTGGAGCGGGAACCAAGAAAAACTCATCTAAAAAGATCTGGGAATATGTATTTGCAAGAGTGTTCAAAAAATTGATTGATTATCGCTGGTTGTCTGTACCCTTTCGGCTGACAAACTTCGGAATTCTATGAAAGATATCTGATCAAGGCGTGATATAGCTCTTATGAGCTGTTTTAAATCGTGCAACTAGTGTGTCGAATTTACAGCGATTCATCGAGAGTGAGTTTTGCGGCGCGTACACCAACTGCTATAAACTGCACGAAATTTCAAGAAGGTAAAATCAATGATATGGATAACAAACCATTTTATTATTCATCGAATTGCGTGAGTTAAAGTCATATGAATTGGACTTCCGAAGGGAACCGCGTGACACTCATAGAGAAAAAGTGTGACCTCGGCGGATGCAGATAAGTCTAGCATAATCAGGATAAGATCGAGTTAGGCTTCCGCCGTCGAGCCGACGGCGGGTTATTCTTCATGTTCTTGGGTGTCATTTTTGCGGATGGAAAGGGGCGGATAGCTGAATTTAACTTTAAAAGCTTTAACGAGTTTATTCTCCGCGTAATTACAAAATTTTGATTGGGAACCATGATTTCCCAATACTAAAATATCTCTATAACAAGAGCCCATCGCATCATAGAATGTGATTGCGCACCGGTACATCCGGACCATGGAATGTTCAGCCTACAGTCCGGATTTGCACCCCACTGTAAACACCTGGGGTCTACTGATGAGACGGGTGCATTGACGTGCATCGAAACGCATTCCGCAGTGCCCACAAATCATACACATCCTCCATAAGTGGAACAAATTTAAAGTTCAGACAATCCGGAACCTGACTGAAAGTTCAACCGAGCGTTGCGTGAATCATGAATGATAAAAGTCGGCGTGTTTTAGAACCATCTGAATACTGTCATCAATTTAATGGGATGGAATTAACCGCATTTCTAGGATAAATCAATTTAGCAAAGTCATAATCAAAAATCGTTTGGTTTCTCTATACCATAGTGCGTTGTATACTCATCATCCAAATTTCGAGCAATCTTTGTGATTGATTTGCCGAGAGATTGTGGGAAAACAGGGTGAGATCAATAGCATTTCATGAACCATAGTGCGGTGACCCTGAATACATATCACGTGTCGTTCTTCAACGCACTTTAAGTATTCAACTCCACAAATTAAGATCACGGGACATCAAAAGCACCACACAAATATGTACTGGTCCACTGACGCTTGAACATCCAACTGGTAAATTAGGATCACTGTTACCTTGCATACACGTGGTTGGTTTGCCGACTGGTCGAATCGTCAGACTGATACATCGCCTTGTGATCTGTTTTTATCTATCTACCTCAACGGTGGACTATTTGAACAAAGAACACCACTCCAAGCGAGCATGATTTATTTCGGGAATTGAATCGTGCTCGCTTCGATGGATTGGCACTGCTGATTAGACCCAACCAGGTCGAAACATATGTATATTGCTTCTTAGCTTTTCAGTTCACGCTTCATTTTCTCTATATACGAAGAATTCCCTCTTTGAAATAAAATCACTGTTGGGCACGACCCTTCCGATTTCTCATCCTGAAGCACATGGCGGATAGCGAGTAAGCGCGTTTCAGATATATATATATATATACTACTCACGAGTAGTTAAAGTATTTACTTGGAAATTAATTCGAACAGGCAAGTCAGAAGACAAACTGCGAGAGGAATTCCTTTCGTATACTCTCATCGGTCGCATACAGTGTGTGATGCACGTGATTGGTTTCGACTAGAGAAGGCCTTCCCTGGTCGTAACCAGTCACGCGCATCACACNCGCACACGGTTAATACTAACTAGATTTCTTAATTCGCTTCATTTGTCTATCTTGTTCAATGTTATACGTACGCGGCCGATGAGAGTATACAGGTCTAATCGAAACTGAAGCAACGGGTCCCTGTGAGACACTTGTCGATTCGTGTAGGCAACAGCATTTATACTGAAGTTAAGTTCTTTCCATATAATAATAAACAAGCCTTGGTGAATCTTTATAGGCGTGCTTTTCCTGATTCGTTTATACTCAGCAGATTGAATGGTTCAGAATGTAGTAGATACTCCCATTTCGTCAGCCGTGATGACCTAGACCATGAGGTAACTAAATAGAATGGAACAACTTTTATTTAAAACAAATTAAAATTGATAATTATTAAGGTGTAAAGTTTTTGTACACTAATAGTCGATTGGTCTGCCTTTGTTCTTTAAAATTTTTTTCGATTCTCTTCGGTATAGAATCCCCCAACTTTGTTATGAAGTCATTTTCTATAAATAACACCTCATAATAAACAATCGAGATGGCAGGGGTTTATGGAAATAATTTAGGATAATTCTTGAGTCATTCTTATTAGAAAATATAGCGATTTTATGCTTGATAAAGTTTGTGGTTTTCATGCTGAGATCATTCAATCTTGGAAACCAAGGTCAGTCAAGTTTAATTGACAACCATGTAGCCTAGAAACTACGTAGATCGAAGTAGACAAGATATAAATTATTGTCCATACTTAAAGCATTAATATAAGTGATAAATATAATGAAATTCCATTTCATCATAAAGAAAATATTTTAGTGCATCACAATCGACCAGTACTGTACGAAAGGAATTCCTCTCGCAGTTTGTCTTCTGACTTGCATGTTCAAATTCATTACGCAATCCAAAGGTTTCAGAAATTTATTCGTTTGAAGGCGATCCAAACGTCGAGTTTTCAGATAACGATATCATTTATACAAAACGATTTATCCATCAGATAATACAGTAGAGATTTAAAAATATGTGGATAAGGATTCACTCACCACAAGTGTTTTATGATACTGCCACTCGACCGACTCGGCACCGACTGCTGTCCGATAGCCGGACAACGAGAGAGCGCTGCTCAGATATGAGAAAGCGGATCGAGGAGCACGAACCAGATTTGTATGTTGTGGACTGCTAGTCCCAACAGACCATCCGGATGTGTGGCCTACCTGCAGTGAACGAGATAACTCAGTTGGACTGGGCAGGTGACTTCGAGAGATTTGCCGACGTGTACGATGACGGGCAAGGCGTGAACTGGGGCTGACTTTCGCGTTCCGGTCAAATGTCCAAAGGACTCTATGGTCCGGGAAGCATAATGTTCAACAAACAGGGTAGGAAAAAGTGGTGAATTGAGTAGTGCCATCGTCATCGTCGTAAAGTGGAAATACAGCACAGCGAACTTTACTGATTGCTACCAAACTCAAAGCATACAAGATAAGTGAGAATATGTAAGGTGATCAGGGATTGGGTCTATTTGCAGGGAGGAGGAAAGAGAATGAATCTTTATGGTCAACACTCAGAGAACACAGTTCAATTGTGCACGCACTTTTTCAAGCATTCTGATCTGATGAGAAGTGACAGAAAGAACACCAGTAGTCTCGGCTCGCTGCCATATCCACCTACGGAGTATTTCGGACCCAAGAATGGAGGCAGTGGTGGCCCGGTGGTAATGTCACCAAATTATCACCCCGGCGATGTGAGTTTGAATCCCATCACCATCGCCTGATTCCTTTTGTGTTGAATGGCAGCCCTTTGATTGGCCGCTTCCCCTTCCTGGAAATTGTATCTTTGCTACTCAATACAAGGAAGTAAAATTAAAAAGAAAGGAAGAAGACGATAGGCACACTCTACTTAATCCCTATGTGCATTTCTTCATATCTCGTCTCCGCATCATCTGTTGACTTCCACGTGGTTTTCTCCAGCCTGAAATGCCAACTGAAAATAAGGCACAATGGGATGGGCGACTGTTAGACATACGCAATACGTGCCCTAACCAGTTAAGCCCATTGAACTGGACTCGATGCGATAGCGAATTTTTTCCTTGATACACTCCTGAATACACGAAGATTTACATATAATTTACTAACTCGTCCAATCCGGCTCACCCAGGCCGGACTACACAAGTATCGATTTCCAAAAACCTCCAGGCAATAAATGTCTTCACAACCATAAAGCAGAACAGAAAAAACGGTCGCACAAAAGGCGACATTTCAACTTAAGTGAAACGTCACGTCGTCGCCACAGGCGCTTCAGCCCTGTGTACGCTGTCCGAGCCTTGTAAAAGCGTGAAATAATCTCCTTTACTGCATCACCGTCGTTGATCACGTAACTGCCTAACTACAAGCAGACGAATTCAGTCAGTTTTTAACTATCTAGTTTCAGGGCACAACTGGTCAGTCTTGCAGCATTACAGTGCACTTTGAAGGTGCAAAGCGCATACCAAATCGAGTTACAGAACTTGATAGCCTATCCAAAGCGCTTTGCACGTCCATCATACATTGGAACAGACAATTTTGTTAGTATACTCCAAATCGTTCAGCTTTTCTTCAGCTGTTCAATCAATTTCAACACCGCGGACAACCAAGTGCGTTCTTCAGTATTTCGTCTACGACAAAATTGAATAGGAATGGCAAAATAGGGCATCCTTGAAGAACATCGCTATTGGTTCTGAACGATTTGCTCAGCTCGCCGTAGATCATTAAGCCACCCGAAGAATACGAGTATAGTGCAGCGGCATCCCTTTTCGAAGAATGAAATCCATTAAAGCTTCGACGTCAGTCGAGTCAAAGGCTCCTCTTAGGTCAAGGAACACGGCGATCGTTGGTCGACGATGTGCATGGCGAAACTCGAGGAGTGGACACAACGTGAACAGTTGGTCGATACAACCGCTAACTGGTCAAAATCGCGCTTGCTGTTCACGGATAGTGGTCTCCCGTAAAAGCGTCAAATGTCGAAGTATGACAGGCCAATACTTGTGTAAAGATTGGAATCGAACTGATTTTGCGGTGGTTTATGAAGTCAAGGAGAGATCCTTGCGGGAAAATTGAAACGATCAATGATCCGCTTTAAGATGAATGGATGCGCTTTTGCGACCAGACCTCATGCAGTAAATCATTAACAGAGTCAACGAGATAAACATTCTCCATCTTGAAGAGTGAGAGGAAGCCCGTTGGGTCCCGGAGTTTATCGTTTCTTCAGGGAATGAACGCAAAATTGGACTTCAGCTTTTGCTCACATGACACTGCTCACGGAGCCTCAACCCCAACTGATTAGTTAGTCGAGTTAGCGCCG